AGCAAAGGGAAGCCAATCGAGAAGGCAGCAACGAGAAGAAATTCTCCGTAAAAACTTTCGCGACAAACCATCGGTAGAGTTTCCCTTTGCCGGATGAAACAATCATTACGTAAAGCATTGTACGTGCGCGTGTATCTTTTACACGTGTATCTTCTATGGGACCAGAGTCGATTTTCGTCGGTGACTCGGAACGAGCTTGAAAACGAAACTCTTATCGAAACTTTCTTGCTATGCGTTAACTAGCTGCTTACAGCAAAAGGAGTGTTCCGATGGAACAAGAAACGGAGAAGAAGAAATTGGAAAGTTACGTTATTCCTCGATAATTATTGTACGATCACGCGTTAATTACTTACATCTAATTAAGTAATTTACATCTAATTGTATATTTCTAATTGAGCTTTCTTCGATTATTATTATCACTGTGGTCACGATCACCACGAAATAACGTTTTACATGGTTTTATCCATTCCATCGATCCTCCTTACCTTCCTTCCATCGTCCCCGCTCGAATATTTATATTTACTGGATTTATTCTTCATGGGTTGTTGCACAATGCGTGGGATGCATCCATGCACGCGCGAGTAGCGGCAACATTACGCTCTGTATGCACAAACACGCGTTCGACCTACCTTCCCTCCAACTACACGAATTTAATTAATTAAATTTCTTTCGCTTAATTATGCTTCCTTTATTTCGTTTCACAACTACCCTCTAATTACTACCCTGCTAATTATAATTTGTCAGAAAGTAATCTCACCGAAGCAAAGCACGATTCGATGAACTAGCGTATTAAGCGTATACGCAATTTGGTTGAAGGACTACACTTTGGATACAAAAAAAGATCACGATAGTAATTGGTAGTCTCCTCGTGTTCGTGTAAACCGCGATGCGATAAGAACGTGTGAAAGACAAGTTTTATACGACGATAACCGTCGATCGTCCATCTCTCGTGCAAGCTAGTCGCTTCGCAGGTCGGAACTGAGTTTGATTAACCCGGAAATCGGTACGTAGCCGCTTTCCGTTAACGTACCCTTCAAGCTTTTTCCGAAT